ATACTCTATTACCCTTCACGGAGACGCTTGCTCAAGTGTGCGCTTTAATAAATACAGATGATTATTGTTGTTCAAGACAACATAGTTTATTACTTTGAATTTGAAATTTAATAGACAGTAATAACAGAACATTCAGTATAATAAATTAAATAACACATATCTGAGAGGGTGATAGAGCAGATTGTTACCCCTCGAAAAGACATTGTCAACCTTGGTTTCGCCTCAGTTGACAATGTTTTCTCGGGGTAACAATCTGCTCTATCACCCTCTCAACTATGTGTTATTTATATATTGGTGTATGAAATAATTGTATGATGCACATGTCTGTCTGATAGGATCTATCTGACCTTTACCTCATTGTTATAAATCTTTAATAAAAAAAATGTTTTCTTGACAAGTATGGTAATTCAAATTTCAAATACACATCATATTGTAACTTTAATATCAAGGTATGACATATCATCAATAAATTGCATGACATTGACTGGATAGAATCTAAATAATGGTCACTTCACTGCACTATTTTGTTTGAACTATCAAAAGTAGTGATCAACCTTGGAAGATATCAAGTCAGTACCATAGGGTTTTGATTACATTTCATGTAATCTTTACCCAAAAATGTGAAGTTTAAGTGATACTTGAAGTAAAACCTTTATTTGACTTTCAACATAAAATCAATGGTCACTAAAGCAGGTGAGACATTTCAGCAAGTGCACTCTTGTTTAAGAAAAATCTATGCAGTATAAAAATGAGATTTGATGATTTTAAAACAAATTAAAGAAAAATTTTCGCTGATTTTAAACGCTTTATATACAAATATTCACCTGTTTTGTGAGAATTCAATCAGGAATATTTCAGAAAATAAAAGAGATAAATGCATTATTTTTTCAATATCCAATTGTAGTTCAATGAGCCAAAGTTGTATGCAAATTTATTTACTAAAATCTGTGACATAGCCCATTTACTGTAAGTTGTAACTTGACCATAACCCATTATCATCACAACAGTGTGAAGAATAAAATTGAGAATGGAAATGGGGAATATGTCAAAGAGACAACAACCTGACCAAAGAGCAGACAACAGCCGAAGGCCACCAATGGGTCTTCAACGCAGCGAGAAAATCCTGCAGTGTGAAGAAGTATACAAATACATCATGTCACAGCAACAAGCAATAGATCTTGATCTTGATGGTTAGATTTTTTTATTTCTCTTTAGAGGTCATGTGACCAAAAGGGAAATGTGTAGTTAAATGTTCATCACACAAAAAATACATAGAACACATGCATTTCATGTCACCTTAGCATAGTGAACTGTAAAATCTTCAACTCGTAAAAGAAGATGTCTTCTGACAAATGAATTATGAGAAATTATTCAGTTGGTCTTGGTTTCTTTAGTTTCATTAACTTCAAAATAGAGCATTCAATACTACTCCCCTAACAAAAATGTGATCTCATATGAAAGATTCCTATAAATTTAGAGAAAGAACAGAAATTATTAGTGAGTAACATTCTTGGAACCAACAATTGATTTTCAGTTATTGATGGAGAATTTTAGACTAATTTTTACAGTGCTTCATAATTTACTACGTTTTATTGATTTAATTTATATTCTTACATAATTTACAAACTCTCATCTTTTAGTGTATGTTGGCAATTAAATCAAACAAACAATAATCTTGAAGTCAGTTCCGCACTTCAAGAAAATAAAACAATGTTTTCCCTGCTCTTGAAACATCATGGATTTATTTTGAAAGCTACAATAAAATAGATGACAACTGTTTTAGTTTCCATGTCATGTTATCAAAATTTACACCATGTAATGCAGCAGGCAGAAGGACCTCATCTAGGTGCTGATCTATGTAAATGAAGCATTTAGTTCTTAATTTCAAATCACTGCTTCAACCCAATTTATTTAACCTAGTCCTTGAAAAATCGTAGCACCTACACAACAGATGCAAAGGAGAATGTACAAAATAAATTTCAAAAGTCACAAATTGTTATAAATCTTTTAAAAAAATCTTTTCACCAAACATAAATTAATTCTTTCAGAAATCAGTTACCGTGACTTTCATCTCACATAATCACTTAAAGCCTTCTTACTTCTTGTATGGAAGGAAAAGCTGAAAAATTGTCAAACTGTCTTCATTTTGAGATCTTTCCATCATTGTTTCAATATAAGAAAAATGCCTTATCAAAAGAAATTTTTGATGTCTTACACAATCACAATAGTGCAAGTCAAATATTATTTTATATAAGGCTGTTGATTTTACTAATTTTACCAAAAACTGTATAAATGAGACTGAATTTACAAAAGAGAGAATCAAAACTCATAAGTGGAATAGGGACTGACAAAAAATGGAAAAAAACTAAACTAGAGGCTCTAAAGAACCTGTGTCGCTCACCTAGGTCTATGTGCATAATCAACAATGGCCTCTCTCCAACATTGTAGACAAGAATAGAATTCATGACAAAAATTTCTTTTTTGTTGATCTTGTATAGTTGATCATTTTGTTTGTTTAGTGTCTCTCTATCTTCTTCAGTTTTGCTCAAAACACAAAAGAGGGTAAAAAAACCCTCATTCAAGTGCAATCACTCCTATGAAGAGTGACAGTCAACTTACTATATCGGCAAAATTTGACTTGTTTGTGGATCTTGCCTTTCTGATCATTTTTGTTATTTAAAGTTTCTATTTATTTATTATAATTTTTATCATATAAGGCAATACACAAAAAAATGGTAAAAATCATCATTAAAGGGTAATAACTCCAATAAGGAGTCATCTGAAAATTCCTCCATATTGTCTTGAATATAGATCTTGTCTTGCTGATCTTTTTTGCTTATTTAAGTTTCTATCTATTATAATTTTTAATTTATAAGGCAAAAACGCAAAAAAATGGTAAAAATCGTCATCAAAGGGCAATAACTCTCATTAGGAGTCGACTGACAATTTCGACCATGCTTATTAGTAGATCTTGTCTTGCTGATCATTTTTGCATTTTAAAGTTTCTTTCTAACTATTTTAATTTTCTAGATAAAAGGCAAAAATTTTTAAAAAATGGTAAAACATTTAAGTGCAATAACTCCTATAAGAAGTCGCCTGACAGTTTTGATGTCAATAAACAATTGGCAGAGCTCAACATTCTGACCATTTTTGCCAGTCAGATTTTCTCTATTTATAACGGTTTTCAAAATAATAGACAAAACTTGCATTTTACCACTATGTTCTATTTTCAGCCATGTCAGCCATCTTGGTTGGCAGGCGGTGTCATAGGACACATTTTTGTCTTTCCTTGACGGAGTCAAAAAGCAAGACATACAAATACAAATACAAATACAAATATTTTATTAGCACAAACTCATCAACAATAAATGGTTAAGGCTCATGGTATATTAATTACATAGTTGATCATACATAATAAGTATTGCAAATAATGACTATAATATTAATATGTAATATTATAAACAATAATTATGAATTAGACATTTTGACAATTTTATAGAGTTTGTTTTGCTTTACGCAGATTCAGACTGTCTGAAATGAAAGAGGAAGTCAATTTTAGGATTGTGTATGAATTATTATTTAATAAAAAGATTACATTATTTTCATTTTTTTGAAATTTTGTAGGATCAACGATTATATTTGAAACTTTTTGGTAAAATATGGCCCTTTTAGTTGAGTATTTTTCACAATGTAAAAGAAAATGTTTTTCATTTTCAATTTGACCAGAATTACATACAGAGCAGTATCTTTCATTTCTGGGAATATTTAGATGTCTCCCTCTTTCAATCATCAGTATATGAGCGCTTATACGGATCTTACATATTGCAGCTCTGTCACTTCTGTTTTTCAATATATCAAAACATAGGTATGCTGTTTTCAGCAACGTGGCAGCGTCAATTATGTATTAGTTTGTGATTAGGTCTAGTTTATGGCGAACCACTAGTGGTAGGTCAATCTTAATTGGTATGCAGTTGTATGAGCATTAGAACATCTCATTTCCATGGAGAATATTTGGTCCTTACCCCTCAGTCATGGTCTATTGACTTTGAAACTTTTGTTTAGTTTACATGTATTAGTTTGTGATTAGGTCAGTTAAAGAGGAACCATTAGTGGTAGGTCAATGATAATTGGTATGCAGTTGTATAAGCATTAGTACATCTCATTTCCATGGAGAATATTTGGTCCTTACCCCTCAGTCATGGTCTATTGACTTTGAAACTTTTGCTAAGTTTACATGTATTAGTTTGTGATTAGATCAGTTTAAGATGAACCACTAATGTTAAGTCAATATTTAGTATGCAAATGTATTGGCATTTGCCAGTCTCATTTCCATAGAGATTATATAGCCCCACCCCATCATCATGGTTCATTGACTTTGAAACTTTTACATAGTTTACAAGTTAATGTTTGTGTTTAGGTTTGTTTAAAGGGAATGACTTGTGATAAGTCAATGGTATTTTGTATGCAGTTGTATTAGCATTAGCACATCTCATTTCCATGGAGATTGTTTAGCCCTGTACCTTCAGTCATGGTTCATTGAATATTTACCTTACTTACATGTTAAAGTATTGCTGTCTTAATTTCAACATTTGCATTCATTATCCAAATAACAAAAAGGCGAGACATATCTCTGTGTTAACAGTTTATTTAAACTAGGTACCCAAATGATGATTGTGGCCAAGTTTGGTTAAATTTGGTCCAGTAGTTTCAGAGGAGAAGATGTTTGTAAAAGTTAACGGATGACGACGACGAATAACAGACGACAACGATGGACGACGGACACCAAGTGATGAGAAAAGCTCACTTGGCCCTTTGGGCCAGGTGAGCTAAAAAGACAAAAAGACAAGCAAAAGTCTACAAAACACTTCACACAACCTTAAAGACTGAGCGACATAAACCAGACTAAAAACCAGGTGCTTGTAACTTGTAAATGGACTATTTGCATCAAATAAGGGTAGGACTACACATGGCTTCAAAGTTATGAAAAGAAGAAAAGCAAATAACAATGATAAAATATTTATTTTCAGATCTCAACATTGGTACAACAAGGAATAGGATTTCATATGCATAGAAAAATAAAAATCTTTTGATCTAAAAGAAACCAGAAGTACACCCCTTCACATTTAATTCTATTATACAAAATACACAATACTACAAATTACAACTCAGATACTTTATGATCAATTTATTTTACTAAAACCAAATAATTAATGGTTTTATTTCTCTATTTTTTTTCCTTGTTAATAATACATAAAAATTTAAAAAGTTACCTCCCCTGAAACCATTCCAAATGAAAAAAATATTATTTTACCAGATGAAAAATGCAAAAATTCTTTAATAATATCTTAACATTCTCTATAAACTTCTACGTATTTTAAGACATTGTGTTTTTTTCACACAAGAATTCTGTACAAAACATTAAAACAATAATAAATAATGATGTAAAAATCGCTGTTATGATTATGTAATTTCATATAGCAGTACAGTATTTAAAAATACAATTGTAAATAAATATTGGAAGATACTTTTTTATGGCAAGAACTGAGGGAAGGAGCTTAGAGATGATGACGATAATAATAATAGTCTTAAAATGATTTGATTAAAATTTGTTGTCTAAATCTTATATTTTGTATTTTTAAAACAAAAAATGCCATGCATAAGTTTGAATTTTTTTACTATAATGAAGAGATAATAATTTACAATTTAATGCCAGCAACATCTTATAACATATACCAAGTTGAATCATGATCAGATTTGATTCATACAGAATGCTATGAAGTTTAAATGTTCAAATAATCTCATTGAATTTTTATATGAAATTTAAGCAATGTTAGAACCCCATGATTTATTTTACTCATTTTCAGTCAATGACATACACAATCTTGTTCTCAGTAATGATTTTGATCATACAGCAATACACTAAATATATAAAGACACTCTAACCAGTTAAAATCATAAAATATAAATATCGATATTATGATGGCATTAACAATCTACAACATAGAAATTTTACAATAAATAATATTTACTTTCAAACCCAATTCCTTTTCATATCAGTTTTACTTTTATACCATAAATTGCCATCCTCAATAATGAATACATTTGGAATTTGATCATCTACTCATTTCTTATGTTTGAATCTTGTCAATTTTTTCAAAAAACTTCTTTAACAATAACTCAAAATCTTTTGAAATTTTGTTTTTTTCTGAAATACATTTAATTAAAGTGTTCATTGACAGCAATTTCAAGCATGGTTTTCAAACACATACATTTCTAATCTTCAGTTGGTTGTTCTGATAAATGATTATTATAATAGATTGTCTTGAAACTATTTTGAAATTCATATAAAAAGTTTATAAAAATTACCTTCTATAAAAACTACATTCTTTTCCTTCAAAACATCTCACAAAATGTAAAATAAAAATATGGAGATGAAATGTAAATGTCATTAAAAAATCAAACCAACAATAGACACAGGGCAAAATGGAGAATAAATGTAATTTCATTTTGACAAATGAAAAAGATATAATTGTGTCAAATTAATTTTTCTAGTTTGAAGTTGGAAATCAAATAAAAGGTATCTTCACTATGCAAGTACATATATGTGAGGCAGTACTGGTTCCCATTGCTATTACTTCTTACTTATAAAAAAAAATCAAGAGTTGAGTTTTAAAGAAAATGCATCTTTATGATTGGAAAATGAAACATAATAATAAATATAATATAACAGGGTTCTTTTCTAATTGTGCATATGTTAAATGTAAAAAAAAAATGAAATTTAATGCATAGTATCTAGAAAACCAAATATTGTCCACTTATCCAATTTGGTATCAAGACTTTCAGTAAAGCTACGATATAATTTTTTTCTCTTTCATTTGTTCATGGTTAGTAATAAAATAATTGCACTGCTAAGATGCTAAGAATTCAATACTGTAAATTCAGAAATTATTAATGCCAATAATACGACTGGGTTAGTAGGGGGTCTCATTGGGGGGTTCTGATCCCGGATCCCGCTTACTGTTTTGTCAGATTCCCGTATCCCGCTTACACTATGTACGTAAGCAATTCTCATTTTTTTTGTAATTTCCCATGTCCCGCTAGACTTCATTTCCCGTTTTCACGGCACAATAATTGGACTTTCACGTGTCACGCTTACAAAAAATCGGCAATCCCGGGTCACGCTTAGACCCCAATGAGACCCACTTAGTATCGTTCTAATAAGAACTCGCATTCTGTTATCTGATGCATATATCTTTATGCAGCTTTTCCTGAAATGGCAAAAATTAATCTCGCATTTATGTCCATCCTTCAAAAATTGCAATAATAAATGCACAAAATAATTTCTAAATTTACAGTAATTTTAAGGTCAGGAATGTAACAAACACCTTTCTCAGTCTAATCTTCACACTTGGTCAATTATGAGTCAAATGATTTTCAATTGTTTTTATCATCAGAACTCATATCCTGGTAGAAATCTCTCCTACACATAATTTTGACAAAGTACTTTTTTACAATATAATTCTGTTTCTGTTTTCTATATATGAGTAAATGCAAGAAAAAATTTATTTAGAAACACAGTGACAGGATTTGTTCAAGTTCTACTGATAAAAGTAATAATAGATTTTTCTGGATTGTGTTTACACTTTTATTTCATGTATTTATGTACTGAAAGGTTGTTTTTTTTTGTCATAATTTGTCCAAATGGTTAATACATTTATCCTGTAAATTTAAAAAAAATGCCTTCCTAATAATAGATATAAAAAGGTTTTCCTTGATAAAAAAAAATCAGTGTTAAGATAGCTATAATTCATCTTTTTCAACTTTTGCTTCCTGATTTTCTTCCTCAGTTGTTCCTTCTTCACCTTTCATATTCTTCTTACCTAAAAAGAAAAATCAAGGAGTCAATCATTACAAATTGTATTTCAAATTTCATCTCTGATTAATATGATTAGTAATGAAAGTAATTTACAACCGCTATTATAATGTTACAATGTATATTACTAAATTTGAATGACCAGAAAAATATGGAGATAACAAAATGCTTTTATTGCAATTATTCTTCTTGATGGTTTGCTTGCAGGTCTCCAATGATGATCCACAGAGCTCAAATCTTACAACAAGCTCAAGTCTCTTCCTAAAACTCATTTTCTCATTTGTTCAGCTTTGAAATTTAGATCTAAGTGTCAAATCTGATCATTAATTTTGGTATCAAGAGATCAAAGTATGTCCTCTTATTTCAAAGTTAACTTTTGAACTTATGTTTATATCTTTCTGAGCACCAATGTATGCTAAATCCTAGAATTTATTTATATTCATTTATATTTACCTAAAAAATCCTACCTAAATATCTAGAATAAGTACAAAATGAAGATAAGCATAAAAAAGTATTCAAAGTCTTACTTTTCTTCTTGTTTTTCTTTTTTGTTTTCTTTTCTGTCTCCTCTTCCTTCTTTTCTTCATCTTCCTCTTTTTCTAATTCTGGCACGAATTCTTCTGCCAGACATTCTGAACAGACAAAGCAATAAGATTTTATCACAAATTATAGTTAAAGTTGTATCATTTCTTTCTTTAAAGCCAATTGTTCACATTTTAAAGAAGTTTTGATTTTGTTCTGTTGGTACTGTTGAATGAAACACGGCAAAATATTGGAGGTTGTCAATGATAAAGAAAGTAAAATAAAATGTTTGTATCAAGGTAAACAGGATATAATATTGTGCTTGAATTTTTTTCCTAATGCACAACAGGAGATACATGAATTAAACTGTCAAGAACTGGAAGGAAAATTATCCTTTATCTATATTAAGCAGTCTCAGACTTCTATAAACAGATCATTATACAAATTTGATATATATCATATATATACTTTAGGACTGTGAGCCCCTGCATCTGGAAGGATCCACCTTTGCCACACTAGCATTGTACTATACGACCAACCAGCATAAACGAATACACAGACCATTCCAACCATTCCCGATCCTTCCCCGAAAATGATAGCAGAATTCTACAAACCACCAGAGTTATGGAAACAGAAAATACCGCAAGAAAATACACATAGGGAGCCCTTTATTACAGAAAATTTACACACAACACATTAAAACACATGGATACCAGATTACCCATTTAGAGAAAAAAACGGAACCAGAAACAGAATGAATCACAGGAACCACACAATATATTTATGAAGCCAAACTTGATCCGTAGACATTTTACAAACAAATTAGATATTTACAGATCTACCACAATTTTTATAATTCCCAATACCAGCGGCAATCATACATCTCATATATTTGTGACGCAACTGGCAGCAGTACCTCCTAGAGCGAAGCCAGTTGAATTGGTACGGAATTACCAGTGAGGTGTGGACCATTTGGAATTTTAAAACGAACATTTTATCATCCACTTTCATCATCTCTTTAAAATTACCACAAGGAACCTCTAATAAGACTATATATACAGACGTGTGTGAATAGCAGCCAACCACGGTTTATAACTTTATTGACTTACTTTCATTTTCTATTCATCTTAATTATTTTTATTTTCACTTTCACTTTCTATTTTTATCGATAACGTCGTCATAACAACCATTATTGTAACATTACTTCCGGTTAATCGCAATAACCGCAAAATGTGTACTTCACTGTTTTATTTCATGTACATACTTGTCCTGAAGACGCCATGCTTGTTGGCGAAACATGTTGACCTAATAAACAAATACCATGCGGTAAAAAATAAGTGTTGTTGTCTTTTGTGGAGATATATATCATATATGTTAAATTTGGTGTAGAGACCTCATATCTGTTAGATATTTGCCACTAGAATCATAACAGGCAATAAACATCATATGAGAGTTGTTGTCAAAACAAAAAATTGTGTTAAAAAACTTCTGAATGATGATCAATGTCATTCTTGTCATTAACTCGAATGAACAATGTTTACCTTGGTCATCTTTTCTTAGAACTCTGTCTCTGCACAGATAATTCATCAAATTCTCATCCTGATGGTTATAATACCATTCTTCTAAAGCATCTTCATATTCTTCAACAATTGTATCACACTAAAAGTGTAAAAGTATCAGGTATTGTTTCATATACATACTTTGTCTCAAACTTATGTAAAGATATTAGAAATTTTCTAACCTTTAATATATTCTTTTTGAAGATTTGTGATTCTTCTACGGATGCGTTTTTTAACAAATTATGCTGATGCATAAAAAACAAGAATGTGTCCATAGTACACAGATGCCCCACTCGCACTATCATTTTCTACATTCAGTGGACCGTGAAATTGGGGTCAAGACTCTAATTTGGCATTAAAATTAGAAAGATCATATCATAGGGAACATGTGTACTAAGTTTCAAGTTGATTGGATTTCAGCTTCATCAAAAACTACCTTGACCAAAAACTTTAACCTGAAGCAGGACACACGGACGAACGGACGAACGGACAGAAGCACAGACAGAAAAACATAATACCCATAAATGGGGCATAAAAATTGAGAGTTATTTGATTCAAAGCATTGAGGCTAAAAATTGCCAAAAGCAAATGAGTTGAAAGATATGAAATTTTTGAAATGTTTGAATTACATCTATATATATATCTTACACTTAGTTATTTTGAAACATAATTTAAATAACAAGACTTTCTAATCATATTATTGAAATAAAATATTTTGTCAAATGTCAAATAGCTTTATTTGGTCAACATAATATTATCAAGCTTCAGAAAATACAGACCTTTTACTCAATTCATAATGAAAATTAGTAAAGGAGTTAACTGTAAAAGCTAATGTTAACTGTTCTAAGGCTAGAAATATAAAATATAATACAACTAGATGTGTGGTATGGTACATGTGTTAATGAGAAAACAAACTTACAACTAAGGGCATATAAACAGGACAATGTTGAAAGTGTGAATAACTCAATTCGTTCAGTAAGTGGTATTTTTATATCAAGAAAAATTGAGTATTAATACACAGTATGGTGAAATGCAATTTATCCTTGTGATTGCATTGCCTCTTATCAACAATATTATCACATCAGAAATTACAGTCATTTATGGAAATGAGTTTAGTCTTAGCTTGGTATGTCATTGTAAACATTAACCAATGAGAAGACTGGGTTTCCTAGTTGCTGCTGTTAAAATCTCGTTCCCTAATTGTTTAGTGAGATTTAGTAAGAGAACCAATCAAAACAGGGCACTCATTTCAAAAAATGTCCAATCAAATAGTTAATTAATTACTATCAGTTCTTTGTTTCAACAAATGCGGGTCTTAATTAGGCATTCAAGCTAATACAGTTGCATGAAGCAGAAGCATTTTATTTTTGCAGTTGCAAATTTTTAAATCCCATCCTCACACACCCTTTTATTTATTTTAAGGGAATAATATTTGTTTTATTATAATTGTATCAATTTAGTTTGTGTATAGAAATATGCTTAGAGTAGTTTGACTTGCAAGAACACACAGTTTTGTATTCATAATATGTTAGTTTTTATATTGAATACCTCAGATTGTTCATTAATTAATTTGTGTATTGTTTGAAAACTGTACTGTTGTTTGTGGTTTTATTAATATGAAAAACTAAGCATTAAACTGTGGTTCTTTTCCCAAACATGTGTTTGTTTTACTGGTAACCAACAGGATTCACTGGTTTCTGGACTGCATTCTGAACAGAGTATGTCAGATGCTGTTCTGCATCAGTTCTGAATTTGGTCTAGATTCCAATGCATTTACACTGCCAGTTCAATAGGATTAAGGGGGGGGGGCTCTTTTCTGAATGCTGTAGATTAATATGAGTTGCACTAAACAAACCAAGTTAGAATGCCTTTTAAGAATGTTTTGCAAGTGAAAGTTGTCTTTAGAAATCTGAACAAAGTAATTATTTCAACACAATAAATCTCTCACCTGTCAATCCATCATTGTTATAAACTTATATATTTTGACAAGGTTCTTCGTTTTAGTAATTTTGCATTATTATATTATTATTAATAAAACTGCTAAGAAATAAACACAATGAAATTTATGTTATCTGCAACCACATATAAACCCCTCAACCATCTGTTAACAGTTGCAGAAAGAAGGTTGTTAAATCCTTGATTCAGAATACAATTAGGCAGAGGTTCTCAGTGCATGTAGTACCCAACATGATTCTAGGCATTTATTCAACATTACAAATAAAAAAATAATCAAACAAATTTCACTGTCAACAATCACCATTTAAAATTATGATTTCATCTGAGAAAACTGTTTTTTGTCTGCTGTTGCCAAATAATACAAACAGAAATTGCAAAGTCCATGTTTTGGTTTAAAATCAATATAGATGTAAATCTTCCTGTAGATGAATCTGTGCAAGTTTGGTTGAATTCTGTCAAGGAGTGGCAAACTGTTAACAAAGTTGACAATGTGGATCAGAAAAAAAAGTGCAATTATCACAATTGTTTTATGTCCAGGGCCTAAATTAGAGCACACGTGGGTTAATTGAAAACATCTTTCAAAAAATTGAAACAATTTTTACATACAACTACCGATATACACCAGCTAAAAAATTAGCCACATTTTTTCAGAGATATCAAAAAATCTAAAACTTTAGAAGATTTTTTCCATTTCACCCTTCCTCAATTTTAAGAAACAGTAGCCACTCTAGTTGGTTGAAATTCAAATCCTTTGAGACAGATGAACTGAATTAAACCTAAGGCATATTGAAGAAACTATAACACCCATTTTAAAAGCTAACTTTCAGTATACAAATACAATGTATTTTCAATTCAAAGGTTGCCTTTTCTTCCTTTCATATTCATTAAATCTAATAAAAATTCACCTGTAGATAAAAGGGGGAGGGTTGAGATCTTAAACATCATGATTAACCCCACCACATCCAATTATTTAGGAAGAGGTGACTTCAAACATTAAAAGACTCCTTGTTCAAAAGCATTGTTATAAACAACAACCCCTGTCAAGGATCTCATAATAGGAAAAACAAGCCCAAGATGGCCTAGAACATTACATTAACTTGGAGAATTATACTCCATATGCAGGTGCTGCTAGGATGTAGCTATAAAATAGAAACAGAAATTTCACAATAAGAAATTTGAAATGTAACTGCAATTCTAAATTTGGAACAGCTACTTTAACTTTTTTGTGTTGTTAGAGAAGTCTGAGGACTATAACAGGGAGAAACTTAACAGTATATGTTATAGAAAATTATAACATAGATTTAGTAGAATTTGATTTCTAAGCAGCATAGTTAGCAAAGCATAAGCATTATATTAAATGGATTACCAATACATGTGCCATTATTTAAAAGCTGTCATTCCAACTTAAAAAATATTCTTTACATATGCACTGCCCATCCCGTAAGAATGTTCTTACCAATCTTTGCATGTGAGCAACTTCAACTGATGTCGAGTCCCACAATTCGTATGGAATTCCAAGCTCAACTTTGACTCCTTTATCACTGAAAACATAAAGAGAAATTTTCTTAGAAAAAATGTTATTTCTTACCACACTTTTCATGTGAGCAACTTCTACCGATGTTGAATCCCAAAGTTCATAAGGTATATCCATCACAACTTTAACTCCTTTATCACTGGAATATAAAGATAGAAATGTCAGCTTCATACACATATTTGTACAAAGGACCGGGTTTGTAGAAAAAGGAGTATTTATCCAAATGATATCATCAAATTATATACCAATGCTAACATATCTATAGATTTTTACGTCATGGTTATAAACAAAGTATCAAGAAGTTCTAGCATGGTGCTCTTTCTACAGAAGTACTAAACTATTTTCTCTAAATCACATCCATATCCACTTTAAATCAAATGGCCATTTTTGTTATCAGGAGAACTTTACCTTCAGACTGAAGACTGAGGATTCCGACATATTCAGGAAATGATATTTCTACTTGTAGCAGAGGATTAAGGTAGGGACTAAGATAGCATATTCCTTCTTTTGATTGGACAAATATAATTTGTTGGCATATAGGATGATTAAATGGTATATGCAACACATAAATGCCACAATGAAGACACCTGGAATCACTACCTTATTAGAACCATAGTAAGAAATAAATTGGACAAGGTCATATACAATATTTGTAACTCTGTAACTACTCATTACATAATTACATACATTGTACAAAAATCAACCACTATTACCCTATCAAGGCTTAAAATAAAGAAAATTACTTTTCATGACATAGTACACATCCAAGAGTTGTTGCTAACTTTTATAAGTCAAATGACAATCAATTGAAACAAAACTGCATGAGATCAGTAAGTACACATAAATTTGCACATATCAAATCAGCATCTAAAAAGACCAGGATACTGATAGTTTAATGAAATCGATTGATTAATAAATGGGGAATGTGTCCATGGGACACAGATGATGATGCCCCCACTTGCATATAACGTTATAAAGGGATATAACTCAATAACTGTAAAAGTGAGGCTACCCAAATTTGTACTTGATCTGAGTTTTGTGGTAATAAGCATTGTGTATACGTTTCATAACATTTAGTTGAGGTAAACTAAAGTTTGAGAACAGAAACAAATATTTCAGGATTTTTTCAATTTGTCAAGGAAAATAACGTTAGAACGGTAAAAGTGACGCCACCAAAATTGAAACTTGATCTGTGTGTTGTGGTAACAAGCATTGTGTATAAGTTTCATAACATTTGGTTGAGGCAAACAAAAGTTAGAGAACGGAAACAAAAAATTCTGCAATTTTTCCATTTGTAAAGGGGCAAAACTCTAGAACGGTAAAAGTGACGCCACCAAAATTCAAACCTGATCTGTGTTTTGTGGTAATAAGCATTGTGTATAAGTTTCATAACATTTGATTGAGGCAAACTAAAGTTAGAGAACGGAAACCAACTTTGGGACGTATGTATGTTCGTACGTACATACAGACGGACAAGGGTAAAACTTAATGCCCCCTCCACTACGGAGGGGGCATAATGATAGAAATAATGATTTCTACAAATATACCTTTAGAATTGTTTTGGGCTCATAGGGAAGAACTTTTGAACCCCTCATATTTTGTTAAATTTTTAAAACTTATAACAAGCATCAACCTTGCATGACTTGGTGTAATAATTCACAACAGGTAAAACTGTAAATATAATATTAGTACCTCAATCAGTCCCTGTATTGGTATAAACATCACTATTTCCCAATGATGGTCTGTATTTTTCCAATCATTTATTATGTGTTGGGACAATTATTTCAAAAGAAATTATGTTTACCAGGGAGGTTTCAAAGTTGTTTTCTTGGCAAATGTAATATACATTAGGAAGACATGCAACAGACATAGTTTACAATGAAAAGATTTGAATATAATGATCTATATTAACACAATAGATATATTCCAATAGTTGTAAAATATTCATAATATTTGGAAGACCCTTCACCTTAGCTAAACCAACTATAATATGGTTAAAAGAAAATGAATAAAAAAACAGACTTTATCTAATGGACTCAAGAGTTGGAAGATCAATATTTATAACTTAAGATGGCATCCATCCAATTTGATGTGACAACTTATGTAGTATATCAAGTATTGCAGAAAATACCATGTCAATGTCAGATGAAGTTCTGTGACCAGGCAGTATAAAGCATATATTGATAAATACAGAATATTTTAATGCAACAGTAATTTTTAAATGGCTTGAAAACTATTTACATGAAAAAATTAACAAAGATGTAAACAAAGCACTTGTAATACAGGATATGATTGTTTAAAACTATTGTTAAGTCTAGTGATTTCCTTATATATTTAATATTACTTCCAGGTGAAAATGTGCACACTTCTTAAGACAGAAACAAAGCACTATATGCCTCTATCATATACTTAATGACCTAATTGAAACATCACAAGTTTGGATTAGTTATACAAGGAATATGACAATACCGTTAACCTAAAGGAATACTTTAAAGTTATAAACATCAAAGGAACATCAGCTAATCTTCATTATGACAGCTGTGGGAAAGGTGAAAGCTCAATATCTTTTTTCCCTATCATACATCTCTTTTGCTTATATTTATAGACCCAAAAAGACCAATTAAATATATATACTTACACTAGTCCATGTAATGTGTCCATTGTTTGACTTCTTCCTTTTGCAAATCTCAGACTCCCCTTCCTCTCTTTGTGTAGATTGTACTCTAAAATTCTTTTACATACATGTGGTTCATGTATAGCTTCTATAAGTCTTAGATCACTGAAAAAAATATTTTCACTTATTTAAAAAAAAAACTTTAAAACTTGAAATGTTTTATTTCTTTATTCTGTTGGTATTATTTGTTGGGGTTACCTCCCCTGAAGGTTAACTTCTTGTTTTTCAGAAACTATATTTTTCTAGCATATTCAATGGTAAAACTGCAAATTTGTATGAATAATAGGTAAATTTAAAACATTTATATGATAATCATTATTCAAATACTCACAATCAGATTAATTTTAGTTACATTTATACCCTATCATGTTTCAACTCACGATTTTCTATAATCCACTTGTTTTTTCTTTGCTGGATCAATTCCATGTCCTGTTCTTATAACTTCTTTATTTTTCCCTGTTTCATCAAGTCTTGACTGAAGCTCAACAACTAAATATTTACAAACTGAAAGGCAAAAACATTTAGTTTTTTAAAGGCAGGATTTTTACCTTCCAATAAACCCCTTCCAATAAACCTATCTTGTTAAGATTCATGTTTGTCAGCAAGATATTTCACCATGTCTTTAAATATAATGATTTTGAGGCCAAATTAGTCATTCTAAATTAATAATTTTGATTTCTTTATATTTGTTAAAGGGAAATAAGAAATAATGAATACAATTTTTCTGCTCTTTGGTCAGGTTGTTATCGCTTTGACACATTCCCGTTTCCATTCTCAATTTTATTGAATCCATGATGGTAAAAGTCCACAATCTTCTTCATATCACTTGATTGAGGTTTCATTAGAGAATCAGTCAGGTCAGACCTACAACCTCTCAATCCCTCTGAATGCATTATCCATAAAAATAACATTGATTCTAGTTATGAATATAAAAAGAAGAAGTGGTATGATTGCCAATGAGACAACTCTCCACAAGCAGTCAGAGCTCAGACATAAACAAGTTGTTTTTTGTTTTTGACTTACAGAAGTCAAAAAATGTATTTATTATAAAAAAATGTGTTTTCATTTTCAGACTTATTTAAGTCAGAAATAACAGACTTGTTTAGGTCTATTTATGTTTATGAAAAGACTTAATTTTAATTGGTGGCCAAAGTGCACCACCTATGACACCATAAACCTGTCTGAGAGTTCACAAGAACCTAAGCTATCTATATTTAATTATCTAACCAAACATTTTTACTTAACATAAGATTATTTTCCTCATTTTGTGTGGTTATAGATGGTTGCATTGTAAAGTAAATAAACATTATCGCCGTTTTTTTAGGCTCTCATGCATATTTTTCTTAAAAAGACAAAGCATTGTCTTTCAATGTTGCCTGTATGTCATAATTTCATGTAGATGCTTGACCTTTTTATAAATGTGCTTGGGTCTTGAAGTTGGCCAATTTGGGAAACTTATCTACTTGTAGGAGTCAATATTTACAACTTTTTAATTCAGGTCAAATATTTCTTGCTTAACACTAACTGACTTATTGAAGTCATAATTTGTCTTAAATTAAAGGGAGACAAAATTTGAAACCTACAAATTTTGACCTCCATGAGTCAAAAGCAGATTTAGACTTATTTATGTCTGAGCTCTGACTGACAAACATGTCAAGAGACCAAATGACACAGAAATTAACAACTATAGGTCACCGTACGGCCTTCGACAATGAACAAAACCTATATCGCATAGTCAGCTATAAAAGGCCCTGAGATGACAAATGTAAAACAATTCAAATTGGCACCAAACCCTCTCCTAACCCATTAATGTCTTGAATGGGGCAGCATCAAAAAGATTCTTCTTCAAATTTTGCCTCTAAAAATATATTGAGCATGAGAGGTAAAAATACTCGATAACATTTCAGTTTGCATTGATCTTAAAAGTTATTTCATGACACAGAATTTATAAACATTAAAATACAGAATTCTTAAATACATTTGTATATACAAAATGATATCTTCTTGTTAAATTCAATAACGGGAAACTTGTGGAATAAAGAAAATGGTGCATTTAAACATATTTGTGCGTCTTATATTTCAGATATTTTGAGATTTAAAAAAAAAACCTAAACAATTCAAAAGATATTAATCATCCTCAACCAATCTTTATAATAGATGCCATAATAAAATCTGTTTTACTTGTACTAAGCCTAAAAAATAAAACAACATTCATCCACGTCTAATTTATTTCATCTGAACTTTAGTCATCCTTCTGTTTTCCTGTGACATCTGTGTGCACGAAACCATCATTTCAAATACATGTAGGAATATCTTCTTTTGAAATATTAATTTTAGAATTTTGCATTGACCTGACCACATCCTTATACTAAATTCTTTTGTTCAACATGTTTAAGTTCTTGTTTAAATATAGAACGGGGTAGATATAATATAAAAAAACGTTTTTGCAAATTCTGCACTGAAGTAGAGACAGAAGAAAATTTTTTGATATCTTGTGATAAATATAAATATATAAGGCAAACTTTTTTCCAATCCTATGGTTTAGATTTCAAAGATTCACATAATAATTATTTTTCAGTTTCTAAACAGAATCTGAATTTAGTGATTGAATTTTATCTTTCACAACAGCTGTATCAAATTCATGCATTTTTTTTTTAATTTTTTTTTTTGCTCTTCACTAGATGACTTTTATCTTTTACATCCTCCTACATGTATAGTCATGATATTACAGCTGTTGTATAAACATGATAAATATTCCATATTTTTTTATGGGAAAATATGTCATTTTGATGCTGTCTGTCTCTAAAGGGATACTCAGGTCTATATGAAGAAATGAAACTGAAGAAATATATAAAAAATATAAATAAATAACTAATGCCATATATATATATATAAATAAGCATTACATTCTTATCCTTTTGCAAATGAAAACAAATATATTCAGAATCAAAAGTCTATAAAAGAGAAAGAAATACAGACAAAGATATGACTTCAACTGAAGCAAATAATGAAATGCTTTCTTAAGACATAATATCTGGCATAAAAAATTCATAAGGGGAGTTTAAATTCTATAAGGAAGATAATTTCTTTTAACAGCCAATCAATGATTGCCATCTGGATTATTAATGGATAATACACTTTTCAGTTAAAAAAATAAATTGAATTTTATCTAATTAAAGTATGTCAATAATATTTTGAGACATGCATGACAAAAAATCTTGGATTAATTCTTTTTTACAATTATAAATTCTTTTTAGATTTTTTTTTATAATTTAGTTATTCTAAATCTTTTAATTACTTATAATTGATTAAAAATTACCTTCACACTTGCTTGGCATGATAACCCCATCACTACTAACATCAGCAAATGACGTTTGAATGAAGGCAATGCCTAAAAACATAAGAACACTGGCCATCTTCACTGGACACATCCTGCACATGTAGTTTGTATACATTCACAACAAGGAAGTATTTCCTTTGAACTTTGACCTATGAAGGAAGTATTATTTTCTGAAGATATACAATGTGCAAAAAAAAGTACTACAACATGTGTGGTAAAAAAATTAAAAAAAGTTCAATAAAATATAAATATTGAATTTAAGTGGACAGAATCGTCAATATTTTTAATTACTAAAATTCTAATTTTATTACAAGATTAATATTGTAGTTGAACATCAAACAAGTACCGGTTAGTCAGCGAGGAAACAAGTCGACAAGTGTCAAGAAGAACTTCATCTCTAACTTTTCGTGTCGACTGATCAGAGTCCACGGAATTTCTCTATCTATTTCAGGTAAAAAAAGGAAAGATATATATTGCTTACATATGCATAAATAATAATCATGTTTCGAAAGAATCTTAATTTGTTTTTGTAAACATGGTAAACCCTCCCACCCGGAAGCATCTTGGTAAGAAACAGGAGTTTGATAATCACTGCTATAAAGGGTTTTTGATCCAGCGTAATTTAGCATAATATTCAACCCTGATTTTTTAAGATAACATGAAGACACAAATGGAAAAAGAAATGTACTATTATTTCTTTTCACCACTGTCTTCTCTGTCATGTCTGTGTGTGTGTTTTTTTTTTTGTACCATCGAATTGTGATATTATTATTAAAAGAAAAAAACCCATTTCGTCTCCTCTTTTACTGCTGATTAATGTCGATGGTACTAAATTCTGTTATATATGTTTTTATTATAATTATGCATACCCAAAAGTCTTGAAAACTTGTAATATATATCATACGGGAGTTTCTCGCTGCATTGAAGACCCATTGGTGGCCTTCGGCTGTTGTCTGCTCTATGGTCGGGTTGTTGTCTCTTTGACACATTCCCCATTTCCATTCTCAATTTTATAATCAACATAATTGTTTTATACTGCATAATCAACCGTATTCATTTAAAGTGTTAATTTGATTTGAATTCAAATATTTTATATAAAAATAATATTATATTCTGAATGTGAAATCTTAATACAAATTTTAAAAAAATATTCAAATAAATGTCTCATCTTATGAAAATTTAATATTCAAAGATTCGTGAAAGGCCAACTTTTTTACCATCCACCTTTTATATCATTATATCAAAATTCATAAATATTTATGAATTACACTGAATTCATATATATCTTTATTTTTATTCCTTATAAATATTTTTTATATTGGGGCTGGATCGACTTTAAATATGGGGCAGGATCGACTTTAAATATGGGGCAGGATCGACTTGGACCGTATCAACTTGGGACAGAACGACTTGGAACGTATCGACTTGGGGCCGGATCGACATGAAAGCTCTATTAGCATGATTCGCATAGATTATCAACATTAGCATGTTTGTGCAGTTTACTATCCATATCCGTCTACAGAAAAATCCTAATGTGATCTAGGTTGACATTTTGTAAATTTTCCTACCCTTTATAAAAAAAATATTTATATATCCTACAGAGACACTAATTTTCTTCCTAAATAGTTTCTTCTATTGTAATCATGCATTCATGTAGGTATTCTGGTCATGACACCCTTACTAAGCTATCCATTAGTTCAGGTAAAAAAAAGCAATGTTCCATTCAGAAACTTTCAGTTGAATACACTGAACACAACTATCCCCACCATTGAAAGCAAATTTTTCAACAACAATCATCCACAGTTGCAAGTACCAGTTTAACAAGGCTTTGGCAAAATGCACATATTTTAATTTGATTTAAAAACAAAATTTCCCAAAAGATTTTTTTATTTAAAATACAACTTGATTTGTATTATATTTTCAGTCTAATTAGTTTGAATTAGCAAATTAAGTCAACAAATACCATATTGTAATCATACTGTACCATAACCCTGTGAATACATGAATAAAATCTTCTTCTTCTATGAAGAGATCTCTAAAGATAAGAATTTCTTATGCAACAGTAACAGATAGTAATTACAAAATAATGTACATTAAAATATTAAAGCCATTGAAATAAATATTAGGATTTTATCATTCTTATACATGTAGTTAAATTCCATATTCACAATTTAAATCAAAATCTTTATGTCGATTTAACCATATAAATTCCCTCCAATGCTTCAGTATTTTGAATCCAACTACCTTTAAACAGGTTTTTTTTGTAAAGAAACACTGGTAGTTTATCACTAAAGCAATTACAAGCATATATTATAAAATTATAAAAAACAGTTTCACCATTTATTTGATATGAACTGTTTATATATTTCAGTGTGTCTGGTAAAAACAAAACAATGACAGAAAAGCATAGTTTTGGTGTAACAGCAGTTTCATGTCATGCATGGAATAGTTCTAGATCAGGTATATTCATATACGTGCTTTTTGGAGAACCCTGTTTTTATGTGTTGATTGATTACTTTCTTATGAACATATATATCCGAATTTTCTTTTTATTCATCTTTAGAATGGACAAGGAAAATGTGAAATGCCTATATTTTTTATCCTACTCATGTGGTAGATGCTTAATCTGCAATTTGTATTGGATGTTTGATTGAGGTACATTAAATTACCTTACGGGGGGGGGGGGGGGGGGGTTAATGCTGATTTTTTGTAATGAATGGATACCCCGGCCCGGCCCATATCCTTTGTTTTTCTATTGGAATAAAATCAAGATAAACAAAAAATACTGAAAAATGTTAGAAGATAAAAATATAGTGAAACATTGAAACCTCTATTATCAAGTCTTTCCTCTCATATATATATATATATCACATGGTTTAAGAATATCTTTGGTAAGGGTTTAATGCTATTTATAGTGTATATTATGATCTTTATTTATTTCAATTAATTACCAATAGTTTACTTTTAAAGATAATAAATAGTAATACTTCATTAAATGCTTATTACAAATTCTCAACTTTCAAATTGATAGAATATTTAGTAAAAGTAAAGTTCATCTCATTTTAATAATTATTCTTAGATGTATTTGGCTGTTGTTTTTTGTTAATTTTGATCTTGTATTCTGCCAATGATTTAGATGTATTTTGTTGTTGTTTTTTGTTAATTTTGATCTTGTATTCTGCCAATGATTTAGATGCATTAGGCTGTTGTTTTTTGTTAATTTTGATCTTGTATTCTGCCAATGATTTAGATGTATTTTGTTGTTGTTTTTTTGTTAATTTTGATCTTGTATTCTGCCAATGATTTAGATGCATTTGGCTGTTGTTTTTTGTTAATTTTGATCTTGTATTCTGCCAATGATTTAGATGTATTTTGCTGTTGTTTTTTGTTAATTCTGATCTTGTATTCTGACAATCATTTAGATGTATTTGACATACATTTTGAACCAGCAGACATTAAAAATTTATTGTAGAATTGTGGTGGTTGTTGCTTCAGGAATCTGACTTGATTTTGTTTGTGAATTCGTGGACTGAATAAGCTGCAAGTTAAGTGAAAAAGTTGTTCAGGATTATTTGTTCTTTATGCTATCTATACTGACATCTTTCATGTTCATAGATATAAACCAGATATCATATATATACCATGTGCGTCTATCTCCCACCTTGCCATGCAGCACCGTCCTTTGGTGGCTTTTGCAGTTAAGTTAAATATCCAATTCATTGCCAAATTATTTAGGGAACTTTTTCGTGTTGGGGTGTACCTGAGATGGAGGTAAAAAACTGTTAAACTATATATATATATTTATATATGTGTGTAGTTCATTTATGTTCAAACTGCTTTTTCTTTGTATGCATACTAGACTATTGTTGGGTTTTTTTGTTTGTTATTGTGTTATTAATGTCTTGTATTGTATTATGCTCCTTGTGAGCCTATTTAATGGAAATAAAACATCCTCTTCAATATATACATAATTTTATTTTTTCAGAAATTGCTCTATCTCAGAATGATTCAATAGTTAGAATTTACAAGAAAAGTGGAAACAAATTTGATGAAACAGCCAGTCTTACAGAGCATGGTCAGCAAGTTACAGGAATTGAGTGGGCATCTAAAAGTAACAGAATCGTCACTTGTGGGGCTGTAAGTATAATTGTACAAGGATATATTTGAAATAATTGATATATTTGATCTATGAGTTATAATGTGATATTGCCAGTTACTAACTTCAAATCACAACTTCTTGATATTTTTTATATTTAAAACTTGTATGTTGTCTACACTGTGAATTAGAGTTAAAAAAATTCCAATCTACTAAATAAAATTGAAAGATCTTTGGACTGGTGTGGAATTAGTTCAAATCTGAAAATGCATTAGTTAAATAATAATTTCCTTGGAGTTGAAATTAAGTTAAGTTATGAAATAAGGGAGATAATCCAAAATTTTCCCACTAACTAATTGCTTCAGGGAAAAACATAAACACCACCGTTTGAAAATCATATGGCACAACTAGAGGAAAGTCTTGAGAGTTAAGTTGTGTATTGCAATTTGTTTTTTATTATTATTTAAATGTAAAATAAAAGCTCAAAATCAAACAATAGCTACAAAATTAAATATCACATTATAAAGTTTGCTTATATTTACATAGCTACAAAATTAAATATCACATTATAAAGTTTGCTTATATTTACAAAAACTGTTGTTTGGTTATTTTAACAGGATAGAAATGCATATGTATGGGAAGTAGTTGATGGAAAATGGAAACCTTCTTTGGTAATTCTAAGAATCAATAGAGCAGCTACCACAGTACGCTGGTCACCACTAGGTAGGTTTTAATACTATTACGGCCAAAAAAAATATATGTTTGTTTTCTGCCTCCTGAAGGCCCCTGTCTCAGACCCTCACTCAGACCCTAATTTTTTTTGTGCATTTGTGGAAAAATTGTCTGAATTCTTGAGTAAGTACAGAATAAAGCACATCTCGAACATTTGATTTAACTTTTTAACATGTTTATTTTTAACAGGTCTTGTTGAGCTACCATGATAAAGTTAATTTTTTGTTTTTATTCTGTTTATACCAGTTAGCTGTATGAAATATATTTTTATAATGAAATAGATATCATGATTACTTAACCGAAATTGTTTGCAAGTGTCTTAGCAATATTGAAACACATTTGGAGATATGGGCTGAATTTCAATCATTGAATCAGACAATTGCCAAATAAAGATGATGTTTTTAGCTTTTTTCTCTCCTAAAATATTCAGTAAAGGTTATTTGATATTGGTTTTGAATATCCCTTGTTGTGAAATTTACCTGTATCTCAGTTAAAAAAAATTAAATAAAAATAAAAATAAAACAAATTTTCTACCTACCTACCTTATTTTTTTCATGGAGAAGGGAAACAAGCATTTTTTCATTTTTTTTGTTTGGCCTAAGCAATGTACATTGTAAAGGAGAAGGTATGAGAAGGTCACTTTTTTGGCCACCTGAATTCCAAACTCAAAAAGTATCATAAATCTGTCAAATAACATCCAAGATGTTACCAAGACATTTATTTCTCTGTCAGACATCAGTAAATATATTTATTATACCCCACGCAATTTTTGCGTCAGGTATAATGTTTTTGACCCGTCCATCTGTCTGCCTGTCCATCAGTCCTGTTCTTGTCATCGCAACTCCTCTGAAACCACACAACAGAATTTCATGAAACTTTAAAGATAATAAGGACATACTAAGTAGATGTGCATATTGACCGGAAATTATGAGTCAATTTTTTTCTAGGAGTTATGCCCCTTTGCACTTATTGGCCTCAATATACTACTGCAACAGTTTGTCATAGCAACTCCTCTGAAACTACACAACAGAATTTCATGAAACTTTGTAGATAATAAGGACATGCTATGTAGATGTGCAAATCGACAGGAAATTATGATTCAATTTTTTTTCTATTAGTTATCCCCTTTGAACATAGAATTTGGCCTATGTATACTACTGCAACAGTTTGTCATCGCAACTCCTCTGAATACACACAACAGAATTTCATGAAATTTTGTAGATAATAAGGACATAATATGTTTATGTGCATATCACCCAGAAATATTTATCAGTTGACTTTTGTAGGAGTTAGGAGTCTATGAACTTAGGAATCTAATGAGATTCTGTTTGCCCAGTGACAATGTGGGGGCGTTGGGTATATGAGTGTGTTCACTAAGGTTCTTTAATTAAATTTTTGTTTGTAGCCAGGCATGAGTTCAGTTGTATAATGAAGTATTGGCAAATGAATTTATTTATCAATTATGACTGCTGTTTTCCAGAGAATAAGTTTGCCGTAGGAAGCAGTGCAAGAGTAATATCTGTATGCTATTTTGATGAGGAGAACAATTGGTGGGTCAGCAAGCATATCAAGAAACCAATCAGATCTACTATTACTTGGTAAATACTTAGTTTGAAATTATAAAAATAGATAAATGACAACTCGTCAAATCAGTTTTCCGAGATGAAAGCTAAGTAAATATATAGATATTGAAAATTCCTGAAAAAAAATTGATAGTCAAGTGCTCAGGACTATCAGCTTCTAGTGTCTGAGTTGCCATAATTTATTAAGATGTCAGACAGGCTGTTGAAATGAATCATCAGACTAGCTGAAAATTAAACAATAACAAACTTCATCAAAAGTATTTTTTTCAAAAGAATAAAATCTAATAAACAGACAATAACTATATCACTGTTTGAATAAATAAGAACAGTTGTGGCAAGCTTATTCGATACTAGCAGAGTGTTATCTGAGTTGATCCCGTTGATTAAGGAAATTGTTTTTTCTGAAAAATATGTAGGAATATAAAGAACTTTTGTAGGAAAATAATGGAGCTTATTCATTTAAAGATTTCATTATGCTTTTCTTTACAGTTTGGATTGGCATCCTAATAATTATCTACTAGCAGCTGGATCATCAGACTTTAAAGCAAGGTCAGTATTAATACTGAAATTTTTGTAGACTTCTTAATGTAAAATTTAGATTTCTTAATGTTTCTGGAGGTTGTTTACAATGTCAAAAGTATGCATGGTTTAGTTGAAGTAAATTATTAAAAAAGATTTTAAAAATTTATATTTTAAAAAATTATTTTTTAAGGAAATCATTTGGTAAATTACATTTTACATTAAGTGTGGAAGTGCTTCTTGCTAAAAATGGGATGCATCACTTACTTTTATTTTGATATAAATTTTTGATAAAACAACATAATTCTTATATTGTACGAGAATATTTCATTATTGCATATTTCTATTAATTATTTATATGTACAATATATAATGTCAGTTATTTTTTTACTTAAATATAATTTGTGATTTTTTTTAAATATTTACTGCAAGTATACAAACAGTGTCTAAAAATAGCAACTAAAAATTAGTTGGGCAGAGTGAATAGTTCTATTTTTGGGTGGCTTATACATGAATCTGAAACTTATAAAGGAATCAGGTGATAGGTCTTGCAGCAATAAGAGATCAGTAACTGTATGAATTGTACAAAGACCTACTGCAAATTTAAAATGTGTAAATTTATGTTGTTTGAATATATAATAATCAATGAATAAATTTTGCTAAAAAAAATATCTCTCTTTTTCCAAGATGCTGCATTTAGATATAATGTGAAAGTAAATTTCTTATATCAAAGATAATGTAAAAAAAATATGGCTCCATTTGAATGCTTTATAGACATTAAAAACTGATCAATGATATATTATAGACTGAAATCTGAGATGGTAAGTTACTTCTACAGTGCAGTTTTTCCTGTAATATGATTAATATTTTTTTTGTCTTTCAGAGTATTTTCTGCCTATGTAAAGGAAGTTGAAGGAAAACCTGCTGCTACTCCCTGGGGAACAAAGATGCCATTTCAGGCTTTGATGGCAGAGTTTTCTAATGGTGGAGGTAAGGCATTTGTCAATTATTTTCTCTTCAAAAGGATGATAAATATAACATTGTATTTCAGACTTAGAAATATTCATAAAACTATGAGGATATATCAAAATGAAGATTGTGTCATTTAAAGTGAGACTGATATTTACAAGTCTGTGTAATACAAATACAGGCTTTTTTTTTGTATAACAAGTGGCACACAACAAATTTTCACTCCAAAGAGAAGATGCTTTGATCTGTTAATGATAAGGTTCCTGTGTTTTATACAGTACAGTATTTTTACATTTTTGGATGTTCCTCATCGCTAGTTGTTAGTTTATAACGATTTTATTTGCTCCTAGATACAAAAAGGATTGGACACAAGTTTAACCAACTTGTGAAGTCTTCTCCTTTACATAATATTACAATAACAATTATACAGAGCATGCACAGTTCAGTCGATATATATTAAAGGTAATAGTAAAATGAGGCATTTGCACAGTCAGAGAAGAAAAAGAAAGAAAAAAAAAGCCTAACGCAATTAACAAGGAAAAGGATAGAGAATTGAGAAAAAGAAAAGAAAAGAAAAAATATAAATCGCTAGTTGTAAACTCCTGCCCAACATAGTGTCCATATACAGTATTTCTCATGCATTTTTGTTGATTTATCAAACACATTTTTCGTCTTTGGCTTGAATATGATATGACTCCCATGATTTTACCATGTGTATGTATAACAGGTGGCTTGAATATGATATGACTAAAGTTAGTTTACCATGTTTGTGTATTACAGGTGACTTAAATAGGATATAACTCATTTTATCATGTTTGTGTATTACAGGTGGCTGGGTACACAGTGTAAGCTTCTCGCCCAGTGGAGATAAGTTGGCTTGGGTTGGACATGATTCCAGTGTTTCTGTAGCAGATTCTGCCAATGGAAACAAGTAGGTTGAAAAAAATGAACCAATTCAATAGTACATGTAACAGGTCCATCTTTTCATGGGGTGTACGTCAAAAAGACAGCAACCAAACAACACAAATAACCAAAGATATCTAGATTGGACTACACAGTAGTCTTCAACAATAGACAGTAATCTATGCAATATTTCATGCTCCAAATTGACCAGTCTATAAAACCTTGTAAATAAATTGTAGCTATCAAAGATCTGCAACCTTAAAAGAGATAACAGACAGATTTCACTTTCTGAAGTTAAATAACCCATAAGTTCAATAAAAAAATCTCATTACAGCTAGCAGAATAACTTTAAAAAAAAGGTCTGATATCATATTGCCCTTTATAAATTTACAGACTGTAAAGAAAATATCACCCAATGCTTCATAGTGTACCATTGTTCTAAATCCTATTATAAAGGAAAATATAAAGGCAGTTCTCTGTAAATAAAAGAAAGTTTTCACATGACGGTCAGCATCATGACACCTTCTGAAGAGAACCATATAGAGTGTTTTAACTGGTATCTCTCATAACAAGTATTTTAATGTGTGTTTTAACATGATATTTGTATGACCATTTTATGCAGCCATTTGTATATTTCCATCATAAGAGTAATGTTATTTAAAAACCCTGGTTGTGGATGATTGTTGGTATTTTGCTACAGTATATAAGTACTAAGAGTTAAAATATACAAAAAAAATATGCAATATACACACTTTAGAAAATAGCACTAAGGCATTTTTCTTTACATTTTAAGGACAGAAAGGAAGAAGCTCTTATTAAATACCAAAACCTCTAACCGAAATTTATATCTTGTTTAATAGCCATAATAAGTAGAATTTTAATATATGTTTAAATTCTGTTATTAATTTTTCTATTGATTATTATTGTTGTTGACTTCTTTTGCAGATTATCTGTTGTGAAAGGGAACTTTTTACCTTTCGTTGGGATATCTTGGGTTACAGAAAACAGCATGGTAGCAGCGGTAAGTGTTTGTAGTACTGTAAAAGGGAAATTGCCTCTGTGTACTGTATTTTCTACATTTTGATAAAGTGATGTAAGATAAACTAAGGCGTAGTATTTAAAATTTGATTAAGTTAAGCCTTCAAATTGATATTTTATAGTGTGTTTTTCTATGTTGTGATGTTATACTATTGTTTCAGAAAAGGGAGAAGGTTTGGTACCATTAAAACGTTTAATCCCGCTGCAAATGTTTGCACCTGTCCTAAGTCAGGAATCTGATTACAGTAGTTGTCGTCTGTTTATGTAGTTCATACGTGTTTCTCATTTCTCGTTTTTATATAGATTAGACCGTTGGTTTTTCCGTTTGAATGGTTTTACACTAGTGATTTTTTGGGCCCTTTATAGCTTGCTGTTTGGTGTGAGCCAATGCTCCGTGTTGAACGCCGTACCTTGACCTATAATGATTTACTTTTATAAATTGTAACTTGGATGGAGAGTTGTCTCATTGGCACTCATACCACATCTTCCTATATTTATTCATTAAATATTGATAGTTTAGAAAAAAAAATTAAATGTTGTAATTCATCATTGTTGATTACTACCGTTTTTTATAGATTATCATAAAATTATTATCTGAAATCTCTGGCTTGTGAAAAATAAAAATAAACACAAATCTGTGACAAGAATATTAGATTGCTTTAAAGAACTTTGTATCTAATTAAAATAAAATACAGTTTAAGTTCAATTCTGAAAAAAACTCAAATGACTATCAAGAATTTTTTAGTTTTCTAAAAATCTATTCCATGGAATTACAAGTTTTTTTTCATTTCGGCAGTGCCCTTGATAAAATGTAATTTTTGAAGTTATAGAATAGAAGTGTTTTACTTACTGAGGTTTCTGTATAATAAAATTCACTAAATGGAGACAAAAAGATCCATGGTGTTCTAGGAATTGAAGATTTTACTGTATTTTATATAAAAAGTTATTTTTATTCATGTAATGATTGTTGTACATTGTACTTATTTATTTTACATTTAAATATTTAAGGGTTATGACTGCTGTCCAAAGCTGTTCACCCAGGATAATGGGGGTAATGTGACCTTCATTTCTGACCTTGACATTCCAAAAGAGAAAGAAGAGGGAACAATAAGGTATATTAGTTTTCAGCTTTTTTCAATTACTGTAGAAACATTATTTTTTCATGGTGTTAAAAAAGTGGTTTTGTCTGTTAATTTTATTTCATGTGGACTCATTTTTGTGGTTTCTAGTATGTCAAAGGAATATTTTTCAAGGTTAAAATGTCTTTGGGAGTTTAACTTCATGGTTAATATCTATCCTCAAAATAAAAGAAAATATAACACCAATAAAAATTTCTGCTTTTACAGTATTTGAATGGTGATGGGTTTATTGTTATTGTCTTCACAGTTAATGGGAAAACAGAGCCATTAGTAATCTCTTACCATTTCAGAGATTCAATCACACATCATGATAATTATCACTCCCACACATATATGTCATGAGAAATATTTCATGTCCTGTACATCTATCTTTTTTGTATCTGTCTATCATTCCATCCATCCATTTATTCCCTTTTGTAATGTAGTATTAATTTTTTTCAGTGCTATGAATCGGTTCAAAAACTTGGATAAGAAAGCCTCCGCCAAAGAAACTTCCACAGATGTCAGGACCCTGCATCAGAATACCATTACGTAAGTATACAAATCCAAATCCAATACTGAATTGCTACATAAAAAAAGAAAGATCTTAAGATATTTTCTGATAGATTTATTGTCAATGGTTAATGTAATAAGCGTAAGCTTTGATTATGAATTTGCCATATTTGATAATTATAGTTACACTTTATATTAAGTAAGCAACAATCAACCAATCAGTCATAGTTATAGGTTACATCATAGTTTGTTTTTTTATATCTTACCGATTTATGTTAATGTTGGACCAATATATGAAAAAAAAATTGCATATTGTTTGTCATGTTTAAGGTAGACATTGTAGAGGACCTACTATCCTCCAAAACCTGGGGAATCAGAACACCTTGGAGGAGGAAATTGTTCTGTTTTGTTGAAAAAAAATAAGATAATTTTAGTAGAGTTAATCTGTGCAAAAAAATATTTGTATTAGGAAAAGTAATTTATAGTTAGTTGCCTAGGGGAACTTGATACCATTATAAATTTTCATAATGACATACTTCCTTAAAAGATGACGTGTCCTGGTACAATGTTATCCTTATAGGGAGATAAAATGTACTTATAACTGTGAACGGAAGCAATATCTTCAAAATTTAATATAATTTTTATTGATTTGCAGACAAGTAACTATTCATACAGGAACTAAAGCTGACTGCACCAAATTTTCTACCTCTGGAGTTGACGGACAAGTCATTATCTGGGACTTCAAGGTAACATCTTGGATGAAAACAGTTTAGTACATTAAGCAGGAAGCTAATCATGATTTTCCTTACTACATTTCAAAATGACAATGCATTAGTGCATAGAATGTCAATTTTAATGAAACCGCAAGTGCTTTTACGCTTATATGCAAATTTGTCAGCCGTTACTAAAAACAATGCAAGTTACCACAAAATATTGCATCACAATTTAGATTATTTGACGTCATATTAAAAAGCAATTGATGCATGATGTCATAAGGTTATTCAGAGACAAAATTCAGCTAAATACCTTAAAACATAAATAGTTTTAAAAAAAGAGATGTGGTATGATTACCACTGAGTCAACTATTCACCAAACTTTAAATGAAGTGGACTTAAGCAATTATAGGTAACCTATTATAGGTCTATAATATCCGAAACTTTACATTGTATTATTTTATTTTTATGAGGTACCAAATAAGAACTGTTCTAATAGTAAAATCATTTTTGTACCACATTAAAAGTATACTACACAAACTTAAATTAATCTTTTAAAAAAGGAAACAAAGAATAATATTATTATTAATTTCCTGTTCTTTCTTATGATAGCACAATAACCTTTGAACCAGGATGATTGAGTTATCTCCCTTTTTACAGTTTGCCAATTTATTAAACAAGCAGGAAGTGCATATCTGACCAATCAGTAGATTAACTGCTATGTAAAATCGACATTGATGTATTGAAACAAAGCCAACGTTTAAAGTGGAAAGAATTTATCATTCACAAATAATCAATTATTTAATCTCTTAACTAGTGACAAAGCAATTTTATCTTGATGAATTAGTTTTAAGTGTGTAATATATTACCAAACATCATCCAATTTTAGTTTGTTTTAATTCACATGTCATACTTTGAAGTACTTAGTCTCTTTTTTAAATATGCCAGTGAAAAGTTTGTAAGAAAAAAGATTAAAAACTAAAACACTTGATAAAAAAAGAATTTATGGCTGGAAATGACATTTAAATTAATATTTCATGTTATATAATACTCTTTAAACATGTGAAATAAGAAATAGGATAGATATATAATCTTAGATATAACTTATAAAACATGCTGTCTCTCTAACTTATGTCCCACATCACCTTTTACGTGTGTATATTTCACATTCTCTAAAGTCAACTACACTAAAACACTTATTCTTTTCCATGTTTTCAAAAAGAAGATATACATGAAATTTCTATTTTGAAAAAAAAAAATCTATGATTAATGATGAACATTACTCTTTTTATGGGAAAAGTTCCATGACAGAGGTCCTAGCAGTGAAAAGATTAGTAGTATTGACTGTTTAATGGAAAGTAATTATTATGACTCAAAATAAACACAATTTTGAAAAAAATTTGATAACCTTTAAGAATAAGTTTATTCAAAGTATCAATTAGTTTGCATGGATCTTATCTAAATTTAAGGGCTTTATAAACAACATCACCATAAAAATTAAGATGTGATATCCTATTTTTTATAAGAACTCTACAGGTACAGCCAAACTTCATAACCAAATCTTTGTATCTATGAAAGAATTTGGTTAAGGTTTTGTTTAATTTGTGGTAATGAAATCCTTGACTTAATTATTTACCACTGATTTGATAACTTGATTTCTTGATACAACAGAATTTTCACAGGTTTGTAGTTTAAGCAGAGTTTGATTAGACAGGTTTATTGTATCTTAATAACATGATTTATACTTGTTTCCATTTCAGTCTCTAGAGAAGAGTATATCTGGACTCCGCATTGCATAAAATTTCACGTACCCAAAGTCTTTCCAACAGTACGACATTCAACGCATCAGTATTTAGATCAAAAAGTTTTACTAACTTTGCTTTGTTAGAGAGATCAGTAAATAACATTGGAGAAAGTTTGGGTGATTTTATATAGCAGTAATTATGGATCAAAATAGTGGACAGCATATGGTCATAGTTTATCATGTATTTCTCACAACTAATTGACCTTTTTAATCAATATATTATAAATGCAACATTTTATTTTCTTACTTGTTTTATATTATACTGCTTATGGTAATAAAATAAAAAAATATGTAAAGAAGTATATTTACATGGGTTATTCATTTGCCTTAGCCTGCCTTTGTTGTGTCTACCATAAATAAACATAAATAAGGTTGACACAGCCATTCCATACAATAATGCAATATTTATCAGTCTAGCTTCTTCTTAAAAGAAAAAAACTTGACCAAAAGTGGCAGACAATGTCAGTTGTGAAAGAAATTTTTTTGTTATGTTATCCAGCATACCAGAAGAGTTATTTCCATTGAAATTTTGACTTATTCCCATTATATTATAACTGTCTCTAATTTACTGGGATTACTAGAGAAGAAATTACCTTGTTCATATAAGATTCATACTTTGTATTCCCTAAATGAACTTTTTATCTAGTCATAGGATTGTTGATTAGAGGGACATACTTTCTTAAGAGTTGCCCTTTACCCTCCTAGTTGCATCGTAACACCAAGATATATGATTGTAGTAAACTTAGTATCCTAAAACTGCTGCTCTCTATAAGATATTAAGATATTTTTTTTTATTCAAATTAAAGGGCCCATGAAGAGCAAAGTAATTTATTACAATGATTTTGTTATTTGACACAATAAATTTGAATGTGATCATCTCAATTCTAAGATCTTAAACCACAGCCAGACTAGAGCCATAAGCATATAAGTAAAAAATCATTACAGGTATATATAACAGGCAAATATTCTTAATGGGTTACATATAAACATATCTGTACTACATTGATTAATATAAATTGCAATAATTTTCAATACCTCTAGGTTTTCTTGAATAAAAAGCCAATTAAGCTTGACACTTGTATTTAACATTTTGAAATTTTTACAACTTGTCCAAATTTTATCATATAACTCTTCTCAAGAGATTATGAAGGGGACATTGACATATAAAATTTTTTTCATCTTCAACTTTATCCAATGTGCTATTTTTGTCGAGCCTTCAACTTTAGTCGAAAAAGTCGGCGTCGTCGGCGTCGTCCACAAATATTCACTCTGTGGTTAAAGTTTTTGAAATTTTAATAACTTTCTTAAACAACCTGGATTTCTACCAAACTTGGACAGAAGCTTGTTTATGATCATAAGATAGTATCCAGAAGTAAATTTTGTAAAAATAAAATTCCATTTTTTCCATATTTTACTTATAAATGGACTTAGTTTTTCTGCCGGGAAATATTACATTCACTCTGTGGTTAAAGTTTTTAAAATTTTAATAACTTTCTTAAACTATCCTGGGTTTGTACCAAACTTGGACAGAAGCTTGTTTATGATCATAAGATAGTATTCAGAAGTAAATTTTGTAAAAAGATAAATCCATTTTTTTCCTTATTTTATTTTTAAATGGACTTAGATTTTCTGCCAGGAAACAACACATTCACTCTGTGGTTAAAGTTTTTAAAATTTTAATAACTTTCTTATACTATTTTGGATTTGTACCAAACTTGGACAGAAGCTTGTTTATGATCAAATGCTAGTATCTAGAAGGAAATTTTGTTTTCTTCCAGTTAACATTACATTCAGTCTGCAGTTAAATTTTTTAAACATTTATTAGATTCATAAACTATCCTGGATTTTTACCAAACTTGGACAGAAGCTTCTTACAATCAAAAGATAGTATCAAGAGGAACATTTTTATTGATTTACTTCCTCATTTTTGTTGAGCCTGCGATTAACAGAAAAAGTAGGCGAGACACTGGGTTCCGCGGAACCCTTACAAATTTTTACACAATCTTTGTGATTTATCTATATAGTTTTTTGCATATCTATCCGTCTCTATTTTTAGGGAGTGTGCACTTATTCTGATCTTGCATAGTGCTTGTCTATCTTTAAATTCTTTTAATTCCAGATATTTTTCTGTACCATAAAAATGTTTAATTGAAAAACTTTAAAAACTTTAAAATATAGTATTTCTGGTAAAATTTCTTCTGAGACAATAACATTATCAACTACACTTGATACAAAAGATTTATGGCAGGTATATTTGCCATATAAATCACCTTTTACTCTTCCATTTAATATTCTCATATTAGTTGAAATACACATATCTAAAAGTTGTTTGCCTGTTATGTCAAGTTTATTATCATAACTAAACCTCAATTCTTGTAAATTATCGTAATCATAATTTTCATATACAGAATATGACAATTATATACATCATTTTGTAAAAAATCTGGCTCTGAACTTGACCGGGCATTTAAATCACCACACAGTATAATAACACCTTTATTTTTATAATTGTTAGTAATATCTCTTTCTATGATATCTAATAAATCAGCATCTGATTAATTAAGTTGTTTGGTGTTATATATGCTAAACAAAGAAAAATATCATTTGTCAAGCTAAAAAATTGTCTGTCTAATTTAAGCCATTGATAATCTTTACTTGTATTTTCTAGAATTTTTACTCCTTGGCGAATATTATTTTTAATAAGTATTCCAAGCCCTCCATAAAATCTAAAATTAGATGATTTTGTTCTACATACTGAAAAATATTTAAATCCTTGTATATCTACAATAGTGTCATATCCAAGATGTGTTTCAGTTAACAAAACAATATCATTATTTTCAATTTGTCTGATAAATTCTTTATCATGAAGCTTGTTATATGATTTGGATATTAATCCTCCAACATTCCAAATACTAAATGTTAAGTTAGAAATATTAAAACCATTTCTTTTTGGCATACTTTATATTTTCCCAATTTGGTTTTTCTTTTGCTCAACCCTTTAGTTAAAAATGGTATATTCCCCTAAACACATTGATTCACCAAGGTATATGATAATAGGTAAAACTAGAACACAAATGGCCTCGATCGGCAAAAAAACTTGAAGCCATTTTTAGGAATGGAAATTTGAGAATGAAAGTCTGTATAACTGTTTTTTTCACGAAATTTTCAAAGTCCAAAGCCCGTAATGTCGGCACAAATCAGCAAAGCGGAACCAAACGTAAACTAGATCTGTAACTAATCATAGTAGACTCATACTAAAACTCAGCTCAACATATGAAGGCGTTAAAAAAAAAAAGTCTTTATAACTGTTATTTTCATGAAATTTTCAAAAATTAAAAGCCTGTAATTTCGGCAAAAAAATCAGTGGAGCTGAAACAAACGTAAACCCAATCTGTAACTCATCCTAGTAGAGGCTCACATACTAAACATCAGCTCAATATGTGAAGACGTTTAGAAAAAAAGTCTGTATAACTGTTTGTTGCGGAATGACGGAATGACAGAATGAAATACTAAGTACATGTATATCAAAACTGAAGTCAAGAGAAAAACCTAAGTTATGAATTGTAAACTAAATATAATCACTTTAATGACTGATGTCTGACCTTCAATTATCGCACATGGTCAGATTTTTCAGGATATGCATCTGAACACTAAATCATATGACTGTATAGTGCAGTAAGTTTTGTGCACCGTACAGGTAATGTTATTATACAAAAGCCTAGTAATTTGTAAGGAAAGTTATGAACTGACAAACTGAACAGACGGACAAGGTAGTATACCAACAGTCTGTGAGTTGGACTTTAATTCTGCAATGAATCAATGATGCTCTTTTTTTGGTAGTTCTCTTGTAGTATTGTGATACCCTCCCCTTTTTCCCTGATTGTTGCTGAGAAACGTTTTTATCTTATTGATTAAGAGTTGTGCATAGAAGCCATATGATCAATACAGGCTCCTTGAAGACTTTACTTGCATTGTTTGTGACAATGTTTATTCAACATACTGGATAAATACATACAGAGGTACAGTTCTGACATAAAAGGTAGAACAACAGCGCCCTTAACTAAAGCACGAGGACTGTTTATATTTCAAGGAAAGGTGTTAAACATGCTTGTTTAAGGTGGTACCCAACACTACAGGGAGATAACTCTGTAAAAATCAACTAAACGTTTTAATCACGTTGTATTGTTAAGGAAATATTAAACTTCTCAATGATCAAAATTAGTGTTTGTCCAACTGCTATATAACCAGTGAAATTTTTCTGATAAAGTGATTGGTTCAAATTATTTGAAATTTTTATATTTTTGTCAAAGGGTCAAAGTAAACATTTTGTCAAAATTTTATGAAAATTAAACGAGCCAAATTAATATTAGTCAAGGTGTTGGGTACCACCTTAAAATGAAATTTCAACCAATAAGATTGTACATACAGTCAATTAGGATTTGTATTGGAGACAACACTAGGTTTCATCATTAAAGATATATTTGTGGTATATGTCAATAAGACATCAACATAAAAACGCAATAATACGAAAAGACATCTATTTATGTCTCTTGCATCTAGAGGAATATGTGACACTGCAGAAATATTTCTTGTTATGAGGGTATATGCTGGCAGTCCACTTTGAGTTTGCATATATCTGCCTATCTAAGGAACTGCATCTTCGCTAGCCAAGGGGACTGGATCGTAACCCTTGGCTCTGGGGACTGGATCGTAGCCCTTGGCTAGCGAAGATGAAGGAGATGTGGTACGCTTGCCAATTAGACAAAATTTTATGTCTGCTCAAAAACAGTACAAAAGTTATAATTCTTAGTCAACGATATTATTTTAAAAGACATTGTCTAGTGAGCTAGTTTCTATCAGAGTATTATTAGAGTGGCAATTATTCATTATGGACATATTTTTTATATAACACAAACGTCTCACCTTTTGTCAAATCTGCTGCAAGGACCAATCAAAATTCCTCAAAGTCTTCTTGATATATTAGGCATTTAGTTTTTGTGATAATACACAATTAGTGTTTAAAAATATCAAATGATTTCAACGAGATTTGTTTTGCTCTCCTGTCCTGTTTTCAAATTGTTTTAAAAAATAGATGTGGTTGTCCATACTAGAATAAGTTCTTGAAGTAAAATTATATTTTTTGGGATAAGTAATTGCTATTTGATTAGCTGTTGATAATTTCATAGTCACTTGATGCTATTTTTCATTGTTTAAAAATGTAAAGTATTCAGTATACAATCTTTTTACAATTAAAATTTGTGTTTCTGTTGCACCAGCCACCAGTCCTCTTATCCTATAGTTATT